CCCCTGCGACAGAAGGCAAGCATGCCCAGATTGTCCACGGGTTGCTAAATTAGACCGTCCCTTTCTTAGTACCCGTTCCCTGTCTTATAATTAGACCCGGGCAAATTTCTCGAGATTGCACCATCATTTTGGGCTTAAAGCTTCCAAAGTCCAACAATAATAGCGCATGTTCGCGACGGTTTTTTAAGTCAGTCAAGTTCTTAAACCAGGCATTAAATGGCCAGTTTTAAGTGTCGATAACAGTTAAAAAGGCACACAAGCCTCATGCAAAAGACAGTGAGAAGGAAGTGCACATCGGTGATGGGGAAAAAGGAGTAGCCCACAGTTATTTAGGGGTGGATCTTTCGAAACATTCTTATACTCTTGGACAGATATGCATTGTTTAAAGTTTTAGACAAACCAGGTGTAAATTTATAGTAACAAACTGTTAAATATACATCAGCAAGATTTTTGCGAATCCTATTTTTCGCTGGAGACTATCGTTTACTGGCTGGTCATACAATCAAAGGTAACGTACTTTCCCAGGTTTGTTTACTCACCTTTCGCTCAGCAATACACTGCGTTCCACAAAGGATCCAAATTGCGCTAGAAATGTTTTGCTATTCGGCCCACTTTTTATCTCAGGTAAGGCACTGCAAAGCTGATTCACTTACGAAGATTCCAGGGAGAATTATTTCTTGATGTTATTCTGATTTCGCAGTCACGGGAAAACAGACCTAGACTCAGGACCACTCGCAGACGCCATGGTATCATCTACAAGATCTCAAGAACAGAAATTACCCATTGAACGGCCTCTCCTTTTGAAGATTGCGTGTATTTCATTAAAACAGGTACATATTAAAAGAATCTTGTTAGTTTCTCCCTTTTAACGAGCTCAAATCGATGCATAAAACTAAGGTGACGTGCACGTGTCAACTGGCCCTGGGGTCAATTAGCAGTTGTTTGGGGCGAAATAACCTCAAAATAATCAATCTATTTTACAAGCGTTCGCAAGAACACCAGACTAACTTTCAGATAATGTTGAAGTACTATGTCTCATTGGGTAGTAAGCGGGATTTGGGGTGATTTGGAGAATTCCACCATATAGAAAATTCGATTTTGGTTTTAGCGGTAAATTGTTGTATTTATAAGCATTAGGCAAATTACGTTTCAAAATTCTGCTGGTTCGTCGATATTTTATACTCTAAATCTAAAAAATGTGCCGTTCAGAAATTGTTAGATATCTGCTTTTTGAGAGTTAAGTGGAAGATTGCCAATATATTCGCTCGTTTATGAAAGTCAGCTCATTTCTGTCAGCTAGGCTATATTGCCGTGTTCGGCGGCTAATTTTAGGCCCGCAGACCGTTGAAATCGAAAATCTCAAGTAATATATCAAACATGAGATGCAGTGTTTCATCACCAGATGAAACACCGAGAAGAGAGTTGAAAATACGACGCGCAGCGGAGTATTTTTGACGAACTTCGAGGTGTTTCATCTGGTGATGAAACACTGTGTCGAATGTTTGATATTTCTTCTCAAACAAAATCATTTTTGAAGGAGAAATTAAGGATGCAAATACTGAGCAGTTTTTCATCCGATTTCCAAACACTCATTAAACATTAATTTTCTTGGTATTTTCTTTATGAATTATTAATGAGTTTGAGAAATAATTCTCAAAGTCGGCCGCATTTTGAAATTTAAACCTCACCAGTGTTATAAACTCGTTAAAACCTTATTACAGCCTAAAAATGAGGGTAAGTTAGGTTTTGAGCTATGGCCACGATTTGCCGATTTTGCTCGATTTTTCTGTGCATTTCGCGGAGTTACATATTTTGAATTAGCGGGAGGTTCAAGTTATCCAGGGTAAAATTCTAGTAAATGTCTGGAGGAAATCGCGGGAAATCGATTCTGCTTCAAGTTATCGGGAGTCGACTGTCAGTCTTGGGAATGTGAGTCGACTGTCAGTCTTGGGGATGTGAGGGAAGCGAACAAGATTGACTGTTACTTTAAATTGCACTCTTCGTGTTGTAATACTTTTTACAGATAATATTCGTCAAAAAGCTGAAATATTTTTCTCTACAACTATGAATGAATAATGAAACATTTTTATCTACAAACTTGGAGAATATCAGTTACATTTTGAAAATGGTACACATAAATCAGATCAATCAAATGAAATCATTTACAAATCTGAAAACACCAGTAATGTCAATACGCATGTCAACATCACGACACCGCTGATCTTGGCAGCTGCAAAACCCGAGTTACAAAGTTCGCCACTACAACAAGTAACCTTGCATTCGCTGGCGCCGAGGTTTTCAGCGGCCTTGCACGTGGCTTTGCTGCTATATTCGCAGTATTCCTTCGATCCACAGTACTTGGAAAACGTTTGGTCGTCGCCATTTTTGACGTATGATGTAACACAGCGATCGGCCATGTCGGTCGGGCAAGTGAAATGCTCATCTTTGCAGTCGACCCAAGATGCTTTGCTGGAGCATTTGTTGCATTTGAGGCTAAATGCTACATGTGTATGAAGAAAATAATTTTTTAATGCAACGTGGATCCAAACAGATCATTATGTGATTTTTCTTTTACTGGTTGATTTTCTTTCTGTGAACTAGCTACACGGGATGAAATAAATATAAATACCCTCCCAGCACAGGTTTCTTTCAGGCATACTTTTTAAATGCTTAATTCTAATACTCGCACATTTGGCTAGTTTAGGTCCGTGGACAGCTTCGTACATCGCACCGAAAAGAAACCTCTTTTAGCAAGGCAAACGGTAAAAACAGCAAAGATCTTGAAATAATTCCTTTTCCTTTAATCCTATTGCTATAGTGAGTCTCGCTTGACAAAAAGGCTACCAGAATCAATGCGGGTAAGTTGCTGTTTTTCCGCATCTTGTAAACCGTTCAATCCAGCTGTTTGCTTATGTGAGCAACAACCAAAAGAGTCAAAGTTTTAAGCCGCCTATTTATGTTCTTCGGAAAGAAATTAAGCCACATAAAAAACATCTTATTATGCGTTTTCCCGACCCTCGATTTACGGCTCGCACGCATGGTTCATTCATGCAGCGGGAAAAACTCGATCGATAATTTATCAGTGTGAGGACCACAACTGGCCTAACATTAAAGAGCATCATGTTCCAGGAAACTTGAAATAATTAGGTGGCTGGCTAGCATTTTTCCTTGTTGAATTTACCCCCCCCCCCCCCCCCCCCCCCCGATTGTTTAACTTTTTGTAAGACTTACCAGTTGAGACGAAGACAACCAAGAAAACAAGAAGTTGAAAGGTCTTCATGTTCCTAGAGTACTAGAAGGGCTTATCTCTTAATATTTAAAAAGATACAGCTTCTCATATCTTAACTAAATCCTTACTTGTTGAAATTCGAAATCCTATTTACATAACCACGACAGGTCCCGAATCTAGCAAAATGTAAATGGATTAACAGAAACTTTTAATTTCTTTTAATGAACTGAATGAGGCCTCATTTGTGCAATTTATAGTCTTTAAAGCTTTCTAGTCGCGTTCGTCAGAACGCATCCTAATCTGGTGTTACTGTGGCACTGAGGCAGAAATTTTCGAGCTATCACGGCGACTGCAAATGAATTTAGCCGCCGCTATCAATTTTATCAGGGGCACCTCGGCCGGGAAACTGGACTCCTTTCAACTCGATTTCGTTTCCGTAATTTTTCCGTAAGTGACGAATGCGGATCCGTAATCAATGATTACGTTATAACATAGATTAAAGCTGACTTGCATGGAAGTTTAAGTAGGGGCGCCAGATCGTTGGAGTAGAGTAAACGAAAAGTAGTATTTGCGGAGTGAACGTGTATATAATATTAAATAATTGATAACCTTTAAAAAATTGTATTACAGTGTCGGTTTTGGTCGACATCCGCATGGTATATAGGGCGTATATTATACAACTGTCCCCCGAAGGGAAGGTGGTGGATATACATACAGAGACGCAAAGCGTCGTGGTATATAAATCTAGCGCTATGAACCGACATTGAGGGGGATAGTTGATTTAGTATTTACCAAATCAGCTGGATAAAAATCAAAAAGAAACTTTTTGTGAATAAAGGATTCACTTTTTTAGAGTTTGTTACGTTTCAATTGACAGTGTTTCGGGCATCATTTTTTATGATTTTGTTGCAAATTCAGAAAAAAAGGTTTTTTCTACCGACCAGTAAACACCAACAAGCCAAATTTTGTCTCTTTATTGGTATTTGTTGGCACAGCTGCTTCATTTAGCGCTAAAATTTCATCTTTTGAAACTGTCGGGAGATGTCATTTTGAATATCCAGGGATATTCCGAGTTACGGGAGCTTAAATCAGAACGCGCGAAAATTGGAATATCCCCTGATTTGGTGAATACTAATAATATTTGTTAGCTTATATTTCGCTGATATCGATAAAAAAAAAGTTTCATCCGCGCTTTACATACGTTTCCAGTACAAATTGTGGTTCTAAAAATCTAAAATCATTGACAATAACATAATCCAATGACAACTACCTAATTATTTTCAAAATTTTATTTACAAACCCTACTGTAACCTGGGCCCCTTAGGCAAACTTGACCAATATTAATCAAATTACAGGGAAAAAGAAAGTTGGGTGTGGGCCAATCAGCACTTCGCAAAAAAACAATTTTAAGTCACTCAAAGCGAAACATTTAAATATTTAGCAAACGTTTTTCAAGAAAGCAAAATATTTCACCAGACAATGTTCTATTTGGAGACATTTTTGTTTGACAGTGTCAAGCTGTTTTTTTTTTTGTCACCTACCAGCAATTTCTTTGCAACCAATGCCGCGCTTCACAATAACATCATGCAGGCGACCTCAAGTCAAATTCTAGCTAGCCAAATTCTAAAAACAATGACTAATTATACTTCAAAATCCTACTTACAAATCTTATTTAGTAACTGAAAAACAAAAACAAAACAAAACAAAAAAGCTAGCAAGACCCTTTTTAAAACTATATTCAATTATACAAGATATATTTCTAATAAAAAGTAGGAGATCGTTCCATAATTTGGGTGCTGCCAGCTTGTTAATGTATTCACAAATTTGACGTCAAACAATTTCCGCCACCTAAGTTTCTTTAACAGATACAACTTCAGAAATGTCAGGTGGCGTAATTTAATGAATTGAATTAAAACTGCTAAACAAATAAATCTTAAAATTAATGCAATACCCGGCGGGTAACCAATGAAGGGCTGTTAACTATGGTTTACAAACTGAAAATTAAATTTATGGCTCAAGGGTTTAAATATTTGAATTCAGGGTTTAGGCTTTCCAAGAAAATAAATTCGGGGGTTACGCTTTCCAAACATTTGAAAGGAATAAGCGTTTCAAACATAGGAATTCACGGTTTAAGAGTTTCAAACATTTTAATTTAAGATTTAAGCGTTCCAACCTTTTAAGCAGGGTTTAGGGCAAGGCGTTCAAACATGAGAATTAAGGTTTTGGCGTCTCAATCAAACCATGGGATTCACGGTTTAGGCGTTCCTTACATCGTAATTCAAGGTTCGGGAGTTCTAAAACATTGAAATTTTGGATTGAGACTTTGTAAACACTGGAATTTAAGGATTATGTGCTCCAAACATTGGAGTTCATAGTTTAGGTGTTCCAAAAACTGGAATTCAAGGTTTAGGCGTCCAAGCATTTAAACCCATGGCTTAAATTTACCTTGCTATTTACTTTGCTTTGCTTTGCTTTGCTTTCCCAGACGTCATTTAAAGGGGAAACCAGTGGTGGTGTGACGAATTGTCGGCTGTTTTCCCAGGTTAAATAACTTCTGGCTAAAAGTTTCTTGGTTGCAGAGTGTAGGTAAAGATGTTGTGTATTATCACTGTTAATGAACGATATGATCCCATTACCTGGAAGGAAACTCTGCTTACTGCCAGTGCGAAGTTGAGTGGGTTGCGAGGAAACTGTGGACGAAAGAGCAGCAAGAAGGTCTGCAATGTTATTATTTCCTGACTTAGAGGGTTGATAACGTCTTGTCCGTCTAGTATCGAAGAGCTTTGTTTTAGAGAATCTCTGGTTGGCTGCAGTAAATCGACACCTTTACAGTGTGTAAAGCTAAAGCTGTTACCAAACAACTTTTGTGGCGTTGTTTTTATGGACGGTACCCTGGAGGCGATGACGTTGAGTCACTTCTGTCTTCGTTTGCTTTATTTTGAGCGTCGAGTTGCTGTTTCTTCTGCTGGCGATATTTTGCTCGCTTATTTTTAATCCAGACCTACAGAGGCGCATTACACAATTAATCAATCGATAAACAGTGATCAAAAGGGTTTTACAAAGGGAATGGCCGTGCGACTCCAGGCACAACCATCTTGTATAGCACAGGGATATTGACAGTGCGTATTTCACACTAGTTTGCTTGGGTTGCGGACAAACGCGAGGCGACACGGGGAGACAATCACGTAAAAACCAAACTTTTCCAGCAACTTTAGTTTTTGCTGACAACTCTCCTCATAAATAAAGTTCACCAAAAGCTACGTCTTATTCGAGCAGCTTTGGACTGTGTTAAGTGGGTGCAAGATTTTTGATGTTTCTAATCATGTAGCAAAGGACTGATTAGAAGAAGACTGCAAAAAGAAAAAAAGAAACACTTACTTAAACACTTGTACACTTGTACGACAATGTTTCTTCATCCAGAAAAGCGTTTGGAAGAGGACGATCGAGCTCCTTATCTAACTGCCCAACTTTTAAATGTCCTGCTCTTTTGCCTTCATGTAGCTCTGTCGTTTTACACATTCTTTGTTGAATTGTTTCGTCATCGTTCTGTTGTTCGGTGATATCTGTTCGTTGCTTTGGTTCCAGTTTAGAGAAACATAAAAGGAAGGTAATACATGAACCAAGAAGCACTTCACTTCCCGCCAGGTAAAACGCTGGAATGTAGGAGTTTGATTTGTCCGCTAGAATACCTATAAAGTGTCATTGAAGACGAAAAAAGCGAAAATGCCTGAAAATTTGAAAACGGTTATAATACGGATTATTGAAGTCACTGGGAATTTTTAAAGCAGCTCAGCTTGTTAGTTTTTCAAAGTCCTAAAAAGTTTACAATTTTGTAGACAATGTACATTGAACAATATACGCGCCAAAATTAAATAATTGATTAAATCGAAGAAACAAAAAAAGAAAATTTAGGAATACATTGAAATAATGATAACAATGAAAATGAAATGAAAAGTTAAAGTAAACAATAGTGTGAGAGAAATATTGGGTTATATTCAATTACATGTGTGCATACATACATACAAATATTATTAAATGAAAACACATATGAAATATCAATCAAATAATGTATCTTTTCATTTCTTTTGTCTCGGTTTGAAAATCTCATAACGGTTCTCTCGGAGCTTCCTGGAAGTTTGTTTACAATAGGACTCTTTAGCTTGTATGCTTTGTTTTACTAATGGGTGTCCCAGGGTAACTTGACTCTCTGTCTCTTCATAAATTATGCTAAGATATACACGTGAATAAGAAATAGTTAAAAAAAAACAGTTCTCTAGAGTATCATCACATGACCTGTAATGGGAAGAAACAAAACATACAAGCTAAAAAGGTCTATTGACTGTTTAGGGCCCGTATAAGGGGCGATCTGCACCTACTTCAAAGATTGTTTGTGACTGGCTTGAGAAACAATAGGGATTGTGACAAACAATGCCCATATCCCTGAAAACAATGGAAGTGCAGATTATATGGAACCCATGAAATAAGAGGTTCAGTACGGTGAAGATCAACCGCCGTATACATGGAGTTAGGATTTCCCCAGTGGGTGAGGTATCCCACATAGTCGGGGTAACCCACCCGTCCAAATAATTTCTCATTTCAATTAAATCGCACTAACATGTTAGGTGGGGTGACCCGCTGAGATAACACAATCCCTGTAATACTGACCTGCAACAGACGGTCCAATCATCAGAGTTAGTGATACAAGGCAGTTGGCGTAACCAAAGGCAGTCGCTCTTACTTGTGGACTAACAGTAGTTAGAAGAACGAGATTGATCTGGGATCCAATTAAACCATCAAGAAATCCGTCAACAATTGAAAACACCACAAAGGCCGAGTAAGCTCGTGCCAAAGGAAGAAGCAAAATGGTGATAGCTACACCAAGGGAACCCACTTGTATCAGGTGTAGGGAGCTGACGCATTTGCAGTCGCCTAATCTACCAATAAGAAGCCGAGCTGAAAACGAGGCTATACCAAAAAACATGATGAGTCTGGCTGCACTATCACCACCGATACCCAGTTCTCTGCAGTGTTTCACCTTCAAGGCAAAAAATACATATTTAAAAAAAAGGGTATATGAAGAAAATGTCATCTTAATAGCTCTTTTTTCTTTTATATTATATTCCTAGTTTTCAGCAAGACATGTAACTCAGAAACAGTCGATTATACTGCTCTGTCCTTCCAGTCAAATACTAGGAAAGGAACAATAGAATTCAACATGCAGGTTTGCAACCCCAAATCAAATTATCTTTTGCTTGGTTGATAAAAAAACCTAAAGTTAAGATTCAAATTATAAACATTACAAAAGCTTAAAACCTTTTCCAAAAAGGCGAAATTAGGCTAGCCAAGTTAGGAGTCTGAAAGTACAAGGATCGGCAACTCCTTTATATATAGATATTGCATCCATAGGTTTCTAATTTTAATAGCAGTGGGCCTACGCTCAAGCTTCTGTGTTAAAGATAGAAGCTAGTGGGTCGTTGAACACACTTGCCTGTCACATTATTACATTATTTCCTGACATATCTGATCTGTTCCTGGACGGTTCTCCGGATGGCACTGTTATGATCGGCGGAAATTTGAATAATATAAATCTCGACAAACTCTCATTAACTGGTTAAGTGGTTAAGTGGTCTCACAGCATTGGTTGACTTCCCCACGAGGGGCACTTCTATTCTAGACAACTGCCTGACAAACAACTGCGGCTTATTCTCAAAGTGTTATCCCTTTGACGCTCAAATAATGACTGATCACAGAGGCGTTATTGTGCCTGCAGGCGCGAAACTTAAGCCCATGAGATACAAATTCACAATGCACGATTACAGGGAGCATAGAAAAGTTGCGTTTCATGCAAAACTTCTAGAACAAAGCTGGGACGTAATTTTTGACAGCGAAGATGTGGAATCCGCTTCTCGTTACTTGCAATCAACGCTCCGTGACCTTATGAATGAAAACTTTCCAGCTAAAACCGTGCGTATATCTACGCGTGATCCACCATGCATGACACCGCTGGCCAAAGCTCTGCTTAAGAAAAAAGCCAAGGCCAAATGCCGCAGCCCGGATGGATGCCCAATTAATCTTAAAGAAAGAATTAACGCGATAGTTACAGAAAATCGTAAATCGCTTGCGAGTGGAAAGATGGGCTCTAAGGCCTGGTGGAAAAAGGTCGATGCGCTGTCAAAGAGAAAAGAAAGATACAACCCAAGCTTTGACGAGGACTCTGTGAGAGAACACAATCATTATTTTTCAAATTTATGTCACGATGAAGATTTTATCAGACCCATACCTATGGACATTACGGAAAATATTCCTGCACCACAGCTCACACTGAGCCAGGTTTACTACGCTCTGCTCAAAACAAAGCAAACATCTACCGGCCCAGATAATATACCATTCTGGGTCTGGAAGGAGAACGCTACCATATTGGCAATCCTTGTCAACTCAAAGGTGGCCCAGTGCATGGAAGCAAGCTAATGTCTATCCGCTACCCAAAGTAGACATTCCAGTCCAGCCTCAGGACTTTAGGGGAATCTGCGTTACACCGGTAATTGCTAGGACTTTTGAGCGAGTAGTGTATAACATCTTTGGTAAAGAAGGTGTGGAGAGTTACTTGAATAATAACCAGTTTGCGTACAGAAAGGAGGCAGTTGTACAAACGCGCTTCTTAAAATACAGCATGAATTTCTCCAAGCTTTAGATAGCAACGATAACCGAGCAGTCAGGCTGTTTACGATGGATTTTTCAAAAGCCTTTGACAGAGTTAAGCACAACTTATTAATAGAGAAATTAACACAGAGCCCTTTAAACCCATACATTGTCAACTGGTACGTCAGCATCTTGTCTGACAGAAAACAAAGAGTGGTCTGTCATAATACTGTTTGTGATTGGAAGGAAGTCAACCGCGGTACTACTCAGGGAAGCGTTAGCGCCCCGTATTTGTTTAACCTGTTCTTAAACGATCTCGACGTCGCTCAGTACTGCCAGGATAGCGATCTTACTAAGCATGCAGACGACACTTGTATTCTTGTGACTCTGCGTAAGAATAGTGTAAATGAATCACAAAAGGCACTGAATGCATTTTTGGAGTTGACAGAGGTTAATGGTATGAGCTGTCAAACAAGCAAATGCAAAGAACTTTGTATGACTAAAAAAGGTGTCACACCTAACTTCCCGCCTCTATGTGGCATAGAACAGAGTGACAGTTTCACTCTATTAGGTGTCGCATTACAAAACGACTGGAAATTTTCATCTCATGTTAAGGGAAAGCTTCGGGAAGCAAACAAGTGTTTGTACATTTTAAGATCACTAAGAAAAGATGGATACCCGCAGGTAGAGATAGATCATCTCTTTAAGGCTATTGTTCTGCCAAAGATCACATACGCACTTCCAGTATATGGAGCCAGGTAGATTTAAACACCATACAATGCTTTTTAAAAAGGTGCAATAAGCGACGTTACACTTCTGAGTTAATTAATATCTATGACCTTTTAGAGAAGTGTGACCGCAAGTTGTTCACCAAAATTAAGAACAATGTTAACCATCCATTATATGCCCTTTTGCCGAAAGTCAAAGAGTCATCCAAGAAGTTAAGATCACAAACAAGTCAATTACCACGAATTAATACAGAACGTTTTAAGAATTGCTATTTTAATAGAATAAGATTATGTTAATGACTTCTTTTTAAATATAACCTTAGATCTAACCAGGAATTTAAGCCCACTACCCTCTAATACCACCAACTTTATTTATAAAGTCTGCCCTACTATGTCTAGTTTTTCAGTGGAGTGGGACATAGTGCAGGAGATTGTACACAAATCCCTCAACCCAAATAAAGCAATGGGTTTGGATCACATTTCCCCAAGAGACCTTAAGTTATGTGAGTCCTCTGTTGTACAAGGGCTCTTTGAAATCTGTACGAAAAGCAGAGCAGATTGTCAATTCCCTAGCAGTTGGAAGAAATCCCAGGTAACGGCAGTTTTCAAAAAGGGCAACAGGCTAGATGTAAATAACTATAGACCTATATCACTCCTAAGTGTTCCTAGCAAAATTCTGGAAAGGGTGGTTTGTAGATCTTTTGATAATCATCTGACCACTCACAATCTCTTGTCTGACAGACAATGGGGATTTAGGAAGGGTCATTCTACAGAAAGCCTTTTGTTGTACCTTACTGAAGTGTGGAAAGAAGCCTTGGACGATGGGCTTAAAGTAGGCGTATTGTTCATTGACTTTAGGAGAGCCTTTGATTGTGTAGATCACGTCATTCTGGGTGAGAAACTGAAGGCATTGGGAGTGTCAGAAGATATGTGGATATGGTTGATGGATTATTTAGCAAATAGAAGCCAATTGACACAAACAGATGGCGCATCTTCGGAATCTAAACCTGTAAAAATTGAGGTCCCTCAGGGTTCCCTGTTGGGGCCTAGGCTTTTTATTACTTATGTAAATGATCTTCCAGACAACATAAGAAGTGACGAAGTTTGCATGTGTGCTGACGACACTACCATTTATACCATTGGTAATACTACTGATGAGGTTGCTATAGCCCTCCAGGTGATATTAGATCAGCTACAAACCTGGTGCCATAAGAATAGATTAATTATTCATGAAGGGAAATGCGATACAGTACTCTTGGATACAAAACCCTTTATTGCCCCCCTGAAGCCTTTAGTTTGGGGAGACAAAACCATTGAATACAGATCTTTCTCTGTATGTCTTGGTATAGCCATTGATGAAAGACTCTCCTGGGCCAACCATGTAAAATCGGTCTCTACCTCATACAGCTCTAAAGTTAAAATGTTAAGACGCATAAGCTTTTTACCAAAAGCCACACTAGAAACAATTTATTACAAAACAGTAATCCCAAGCTTACTATATGGTATGGCCGTGTGGGGCTCTTGCTAAGATTATTTGATGAAAGATCTAGAACTAATCCACCTCAGGGCCGCAAGACTTATCCACAAACTACCAAGAGACATGGAAGACGAAACAGTACTCATAAATGCAAGTTGGATTCCATTAAAATATTCTTATTGCTCTCGTATTCTAAATATAACGCATAGAGCTTTTCATCATTTAGAGTTAGGTGATATAAATAGTTTAGTTGTTAAGAACGCTTCTTCTTATAGTCTTAGGAAATCGTTAAATGTTGTTGTATCTAGGCCAAGAACCGAAGAGGGTCGTCGTTCATTTAAACACAGAGCTGCAATTGCCTGGAACTCTTTACCTGACACTATCAAACGGCTTGAAAACCCTCACTCTTTTAAAAGAAAGTTAAAATCGATCAAGACCTATGTTAGGGACATCAGTTTTCAAAAGGAATGCTTAGTAATTATAATAAGAACCCTGAATTTACATATTTTAAAATTATTTGATTAGTCTTTTTATCTTACATAACTGTATTGTAAATCTTTGTTCTCTCATCTAGACTTAGTAGTAGTAGGTCCACATCAGCTGTACAGTTGCTTATTACAAACCTACTTATCAAATAAATGTATGTATGTATGTAGAGTAACGTAACTAAGACACAATCCATCTGTTACCTAAATACTATCTCTTAACGCATCACTATATTTACTGCCAGCTTTTAATTTTAACGGTCAATCGTTGAAGTTGCCTGATGAGTGTGGTCCTACAATTTCGGACCATACGTAACAGCACTGTCGCAATAAACGATCAATGATTACTTCTGAAGCCTGAAATCCTGTGATTACTAATATGTATGTATGTATGTATGTATGTATGATGGGAATTCGAAATCGCTTTCAGTCGAATGTTGCATAGAAACAAGAATGCGCCGTGACGTCAAACTACTGTATGACGTCATGGCGGACACCATCGGATATATATGTTGTAGTTAATTTTTTATTTCAGTTAATTTTTATTTTTCCATTGTTTTGGGGTATGGTAATGTATGCTAATGAATTTAAAACAAAGGAAAAACAAAAATTAACTGAAATTAAAAATTAACTGCAACATATACAAGTAAAGATGAGAGCTGCGAGTTTGCAGCTCGCTAGGACCCACAAAGATTATAGAGATTATAAACTCACTTCGCTCGGCGCTTCGCGAGGAATTATTATTATTATTATTATTATTATTATTATTATTATTATCAATATCATTATTATTATTATTATTATCATTATTATAACAGACAAATGGGAAGATGTGTAGAGGCACAACGCTCGGTAGCTATAGTCGACCTTAAGCATTGTGAGGTTTTTGGCATGTCAATAAATACTAGAAATATAATAAGACAGCAATACTGTACTTACCAAATGTATTAGAGGCACATAATCTCCGAGGGCGATAGCAGCATAACCTATTGTGACAACTGCAAATGTGGGCGTCCTCCAAGGTGAACAGTCAAAAATTTTCCATCGTTGAAAACATGTTTTAAGTTTTTTCTCACTATACGCCTCTTGATCCTTTTGCACATGTTCGTCAAGGTGTTTATCACATTTTTCTTCAGTATCCTCAGTTGTAGAAGAGAATGAGACGGCCAAGACGCAAACAAACAGTGCAAAACCGGCTAAAACAAGGTACGTATTCTGTAAACCCAAAACTCCTAATAGCTCTTGAGCAATGGGTCCAAAAACGAAAATCCCTAGGCCCGTACCAGACGATACCAGGCCCGTTGCCATAGAACGTCGCCTATTAAAATGTTTGGCTGCGACGAGGAAAGTGCAGGTTCGTACGCAGGCCGCGCCAAGACCGAAGAGTAAGCCGTACGAGAAGAACACGTGACTGATTGACTTGGCAAATGAGGTTGCAAACAAACTTAGTGCGCATAAGAGGCTTCCACATATGGTCATAACACGACAACTAGAGCAATCTGACATGCGTCCCACTGCAGGTGCGGCAAAGTAGGACAAACCCACTGCTAGTGCTCCAATCCAGGCTGAGGAGTGGGCAAAAATAACAATAAGATAAAATAGGCTTTTAGGTGACATGTAGTGATAGTAACCAACAGGAATGAATCGTTAGAACAATTATATGGGGGGAAGCAGTGGGTGGAAGGTTTTCAGTTTGCATGCGTCAACGCAGCATTTGTTTCTAGCCTTCTCACTATGCGAATAGTTTTAATTACTTTGCTTCCCCCCACCCGCAACGACCCTGTGACAGCTCTAATAGTCCGTCCCTTATCTAAAAAGTTAGATTCTACTTCTCAAATGTCGCCTGCGAAGCGTAGGAAATCTTGCCCAAACTTCGAAGATCCCCCTCCATAAATTTTTTTATGGTGTAACTCTTAATACGGCTTCCAGGCTAATTCTAAGTCTTATTCACTTGCACATGTGTGCATAATTTACGAATCCGAGAAGGACAAAGGGCAAATCCGGGGGGAGGTGGGCAAATTTCCTTCGAAAAATGCAACATTAATGCGACGTAAGCGTTGTATTACCACAGGTAAAGCAGGAAGTAAATCCATTACATTTACGTTAAAAGGACGTGCCACAAGTCGACCCCAAGCAAGCAAGCGGACTTTGTAGGTCGCGAAGCTCTAAAGTGATCGGCAGCGTCGCGAAAGGTTGACCTTCGTCCCGCGCCATATTAAATTAGACGAAGGACATTTTTTGAAAGTCTACAAAATTACAAACGGTTATAAAAACAGATTATAAGGGATCCGTGTAAAAATACCCCGAAAAATACAAGGCAAATGGGAGCACTGCGGTACAAACTGACCTCCCACCAATATCACCGAATGTTACTGCTCTATTTGATCATTTGCAGAAACGATGTGGCTATTATTATGCCCGGCAACCGGGAAGGGTCTTAAAAAGGTAAATGCCCAGCAGTCAAAATGAAAGCACTGTGTTTTCGTTGTTGCTTTGGGAAACTAACTGAAACTAATCCTTTGGCTTATTAATAAGAGGCTTTCTAACTTTCCAGCCGGCTTTCGGACAGCCGGGTATTCAGTGTTTGTGTGAAAACCTGCCCGTGAGTCACGCGCTGCTACTCACGAAATTTTCTAAGTGTCGAAACAACGTCGACTCCACTATATGCCCAAGAAACCAAAACCGCGCGCTCAACTGCGACGCAATTCCTGTTTTCTTGATCGCTTGGTAATTCTAAATGAAGCTAGAATACCTTCAAACGATTCAGGAAAAGGGATTTTGATGAAAATCTAAAAAAATACTGACTGCCGCGCACTTAGTTCTCAAGACCCTTAACGGCTGCCGGACATTTAGCCACAGTGTTGCAGAAAAATGACTGACATTTTTACTCGCCTGTTTGTCCTCTTCCTGAATTGAATTGTTGCATTATAACTGGTAGGAGAACTCCGAACGTCCCTAAAGCAATACCCATGATCAACGCTTGAGATAATGTGGCACAGAAACAGATCACGTAAGACCAGCAATCGTCTTGTTGTTTCGGTCTTTTTCTGACGGAGCAACCTTCGCCAGAAAACATTTTTACAACGTTAAATTAACATATTGGGTGCATAAAAATCCTTAAAAGTTGGTAGAAAACGACAGTCTAGCGACACTATACTACAAATCTGACCGAAGGAATATGTCCAGTCGACTACATCCGGTAAGTGTGACCCGCGAAAGAAAAAAAATACATATCCCGGAGAAATATCATGCAAACCGCGATGACAGACGTGTGGCAAAAGAGCATTGCTTGGAAAAACATGAAAATGTTACGGAGCTTGAGGCTGCGTATGCTTCAACCTAGATCCTCAAAAGCGACTGGAAGCAATCCTTTATTACCAAATTGAAATTTAATATTGGCAACCGAACCAATGCGTTCAAAGCGACAGCCAGAACAAATATAAATGACAGATGATGAATTCAAAGCAAATTTGCATGCAAAATTTTCTTTAAAGTGCATTTTTTTAACTGTACTAGTGTTCGGAAATAGTTTATCCGCTTCCTCAAAACTAACGACTGAGAGTTTAAGATGTGACTGTGGATCACACTTGTTGTGCTTTTCAGGGTGTGTTCGATGGACCCTATCAGTCCGGCTCTTATGGAAATATAAATAATATTTTTTCGGCTTTCACTGTGTTGCAATATTTACAAAACTTCTTGAAATAAAACATTCTACTGTATTTAACGTTTAAATGTTCCAAGAATCATGGTAGAAGAGATTTGTAACAAAACTTTTGCGTATTTGTATTCCGGAATACGGGAAGATGGAATGACCCGTTGATAGACTTTGCAAGACACGTTATTTAGATCGCGTCATCCACGCGTCACACTTTCGTTACGAAACATAAATTGTCGGTGACAACGGCGAAAAACTTCAAAAGTGATGAATTCTAACCTGCATAGCAAGCGTTTCCGTGCTGTTTCGAGGGTTAAATTCCTCGGTCTTTCTTTGCTCCGAAACAGCAAGGAAACGCTTGCTACGCAGGCTAGATGAATTCATGCTTAGTTCATTTGTTTGTTTGGTTGTTTGTTTTTTTAAGGGGGGAGGGTGGCAAATGCCCTGGGGTGGCTACACTTAATCTATACGCTCAAAAAATGCCCCTTGGTGCGGGCGGAGAGTAAGTCCGACAAGTGCAAATACATAAAATCAAGAATAAAACTTCCACAACTTTGTCTAGTGCTTAATGGGAAAGGCCTCATCTTGGACGAAACTCCGGGCAATCCTTTCTTAATCCTTAAAAACGCTACTTAAATATCTATATATTTTTTTTTCTCAGTGGAATATTTCCAGCTACTTGTAATGATATGAGGGAAGCTTTCCAAGGAAGAGTTAGGGAGCCATGCAGGGGCGGATCTAGGGGGAGGGTGCAGGGGGTGCGCACCCTCCCCCGCCTGAGATGACCTGCGGTTTTCTAATACAACTGGTATTCTGCAAAAAAAAAAAACTATGTGGTTTATTGGTGCTGAAGTAGAGCAAGAGACGAGGGCACCCCCTCCTAAAAAGAATCCTGGATCAGCCCCTGCCATGATCTCTGTACATTAGTGATTTAGTTAGCATTAGGACTTGTTCTTCATATTCATTAAGATCGTATCATTCTATTGTTTTGGAACATCCCAAGGGGCGTATGGTGTCAACTGTAGGTGCTGGATCGTTTTCCGCCTTCCCGCGCATATCCGTGATGTCGGATCCCTGTGCGCCTTTAAAATTTTAGTGCAGCTTCAGCAGCCTGTTGTTCTCTTTAATAGAAACAATTATTTTCCACAGTCTTTCTGAATTTCACAAGACTGATATTTATCGATCATATCCAGCGCGCTCTCGTAGGATAAATGATTTGAGGGCACCTGTTTGGTGACTTTTTCAGTAATCACCCGCCCTGTGGAAAGAATTATTTCACTTGGATGGTTGAAAGTCAGAGCAAGCGCTTTTTTTAAAAAAAATCCAGGTGCAAATACTCTTCTAACTTTTTGCCTGGTTTAAATTATTACCTGTGTTCGTGCATCAAGGTCTTATATGGTTTATATAAAAGAGGGTCTAAACCATAACAGCTTCACTAAAACGAGTTGTTTTATCTTACATTTATTCCCAAGGCCCAGAAGAAAAATGACTAACCTACCAGAGCCCGAAGACCAGAATTCAAACTGCATTTTAGTCTAGATTGTGTAAATCAATTAGGTGGCTATAAAATCTTTGAGATAACTATTAATAGCGCCCTTTGACATAAAAATGATTAAAAATGCTTTTTTGGAATTAATCTATGATAGATAAAACCGATAAAAGTAAAAATGCTGATAAAAATATATAGATAGAATAAAATGACCATAAAAATAAAATCAAGTTAGAGCTAGTCTAAAAATATATGTTTTGAGTTGTCTCTTAATTGAACGGAGAGAAAAAACCAGTGGGCTTGATGTTCAGAGATGAGATGTTCAAAATGGAAAGACTTGATGTTCACTTGGCCTTTTGATTTTAAATCTCCTTAAACTAGATGGCACATACGCTCACTGGGTTGCACTCAATTGTTTGGTAGATAACTACAGTGTTTTCTCTAATTTCAGTCGCCAAGACTGCTTGATTCTAGCCAGAATCCAACGCAACATCACGGCCCTAGATCTAATTTGCCAGTGAGCTAGCTTACTTACAGCCGCGTGTCGTACTGAAGTTGTTCTACCGTTTCTTTTTCGTCCTCTCTTGCGAATTGTGGCACTCTAACATCAATTTCAGCCTGGAGGTCTTTCTCCAATTTTAGTATTTCTACTTCGCGGGAGATCACTTCATCGCTCATAGTAAACGATTTGTTTACAAACCCATTTGATGCAAGCTGGGACGCTTGCGGTAGAGAGTCTTGTAGATTTAGTGCATAAGCTCTGCAATCACCACTGGAACTATATTTTCGGCTTAATCCACCTTTTCCGTTCGCTTTTGTACAAGACAATTTTGATTTATTTATGATAGGTGACCGCTTTATCACTGCCGACTTGTTGACGTCATAACTGGATGACTCTGAAGCGCCTTCCTTAGCCTCTAAGTTTGCTGCCGTGTTTTCCAAGCATTGCTGGAGGCCACCCTCGACTGCCAAACGTCGATCAGCTGTTCTTCTTTTGGTAAAAAGCAAAAGGAATGGTATGCCTGCTGCAAAAATGACAACACTTCCAGCCATGTAGAAGGCACCATCATAGGAGCCAAGTTTGTCAGCCATCAAGCCTGAAGAAAGAAAATAACAAGGACAAACAACATTATATTTTAGATTGGTCCCTGCTAGAAAAGGATAACACAAGAAACTCGGAGTTATGATAAAGGTAAAGGGGTCCTTATTTTATGCCGGTAGCTCGATATAGTGATCATTTGACGACTAACCAAAGGCCGACAGTGCTCTTATTTTGGCCCCTATTTGCATCCGTAATCGTTAAAAGGGTGGTTAAAGCTACTTAAAGCTACGCGGAGAGGAAAGAATTCGAAATAAGGATCTGAGGCCACACATGAGAAAGAAACTGGGAATCTCTGGCACAAAAGGCCGTGCACTAATTACCCAACTGTGCTTATGCCGCAAAAGAGGGCGAGGGACTTATTCGATCTCTTCCTCCTGTGTTACTGCATTTTTATTAGAGACCTTAAGATACCCCGAAATCGGTGTACGGGTAACGGGTAGCGCCATGTTTTTTCCATTTTGTGGTGACGTCATCGACCTTACCCGGTAGAACCAGCCGTTTTTTCCGGGGTAGACACCAGTTTACCCGTAGAAGATTTACGAGTAGCTGCAAGTCCTAAATGATGGAGAAGCGAGTAAGTTTTTAAGACTTTTTAAGTACAAATGTAAATTGTATGACTCCTTGGCAATGTTATTGCAAGTCTGTTCAAATATTTTTGCCAAATTTGAATTTTAGCTGTAAAGAAAGCGCTTCAAAATGTACAGTGATTTTGGACCTCAAATGTGCAGGTTGAACTCTGAAACGATGTCAGTTTGTGGCGGTATTTGGGGGGGATTTCTGAGAATTGCTCGAAGGTCTGAGTTTCGCAAAAGAAATAGCATTGAAATATTTAGCATGGGAGCCACTGTTGAAGTTGACAATCAAAGGAATTGTTTGGTGATGTGCCTCGATCAAAATGGCGGGGTTTGCGATAACAAGCTTTCGGTCGAGGGACTTCCCGCCAAGTTTCTTAAAATCTTTCCATGATATTTCAATAAGCTTATGTATGAATCAATTATTTGTTGCAGCTTGTTGTTAAGATATGAAGTGTAGAATTTGAGGGAGATTTTGTATGCATTCAGCGACATGCATGTACGAAGTTAATTTGCGTGCTTGTTCTTCGGGTATCTTAATCGAAATAGTCACGCACATGAACATTTTACGTGTACGGGTACACTACCCGTACCCGTACACCGATATCGGGGTATCTTAAGGTCTCTATTATATTTTTATCTCACCCAAAGCAAGAGGTATTAGACCGAGTTGGTTATTTAAACTGAACGCATCGTAATGATACCTGTCTTAAATAATAGAAAGCATACCTGCCACTGGTGGACCGCTGGCCAGAAATATTGAGGCCACTTGCATCTGCCAACCAAGGGCTGCGGGCCTCTTGGTTCCTTCAAAGCTTGACATTAAAATTATATTCAAGGTCGTGATAAAAACCCCATCGCAAAGTCCATATATCACTGTAAAAACGATCAGAGTTGTGTAATCACTTGCCAGGGTAACAAGTATAGTAGACAAACCGACGACAAACTCTGCTGATTGATACAAGTAGAATGGATTCATTCCTCTAACGTCACATATGCGGCCTACTGGAATACGTGCAATGGCTGATGTTAGTCCGTAATACACATACAGCCTGGACGCCTTGTCGGCAGTTATGCCAAGGTCTCCACAAAACTGGACCTAAATAATTATATAAAAAGTTAATAATAGTATGTTGATAGTCTACTTATACTATCTTACATGGCAGACTCTTTACAAAAACCTTTCTCTTTTCTCAGTTTACTTTCTTTATTTCTTTCTTTTTTTTATCTATCATTCATAGCAGGTTACCAAGATAAGTTGTTTTGTTACAGCTCTAGCATTTAGACTGATCTATGGGCAAACACCAGGTATTTTTATATGATGTGATAAGTTCAGTTAAAACTTCGTTTTGTGTCAAAACTGATTTCATGAATATTGTCAGTGTGTTTTAATATGGAACTGATTGAAAGTTTCAAATCGCAAATTTCATGCCGGAAGTTCATCAAGCGTCACAGTTATGCAAAAGATGATACTACTCCAATCTCCGCCTCGTTAAATTCAGTAACCTATTTCTTTTTCGTCTTTGTCCGCTCATTTTGTATCTTAGTCAACTGATAATTTATAATTGACCTCTCTCCTCGAAATTGCCCTTTGCTTCAAAACATAAACGAATAATGGATGAACAGAATGCAAATCATATTTATGCCAATCCCCTCCGCTTTAGGCACCAACGAAACTTATCTATTGCGAAACCGAATACCGTCCTCGTTCCTTCTTTCCCCCTCTACAGTCCCAACATAACCATCATAACTGGAAATGGTTCTTGCTTATATCAAATATTGACTGCTTGATTGCTTTCCGACTGGGGATAAGAGGAAAGACTTCTCGGGGGGTTTCTCGTCTGCCGACAAAATCTCTCTACTATTTCCTAGTTCCTCTCTCTAACTATAAAGCCTTCTCACATAGGGAAAACCTTACAACATACCAGGTGAATTTGTGGCACATAATGTCCAAACTGAGCAACGCCAGAAGACAACGTTATAGCCACGAAAGCAGGGACCTTCCAAACTGACACATCCGGGATTATTTTCCCTATGCGTGATTTTCTTGGATTTGATTGAATATTGTTGCTATTGTTAGCAGATGAGGACAACTGATCGACGTTCTCTTGGGTATCTCTCTCTCCTTCAGGGTTAACATTAGGATCATAAGTCAGTCCAAGTAAACAGACACCGAATAATACTCCAGACATGATTCTATAAGTTGTTATCCAGCCGTATTTGTCTATCAGCTGCTGCAAAAGTGGCCCTTGAACAAAAACTCCAAGACCAAGACCAGCTGTTGTTAAACCAAGAGCCAGAGATCGCCGCTTTTCAAAATAGTTACTCACTATAACCAAACTTCCGTTGAAAATGAAACTGGTTCCGATACCAAATGGAAGGCTGTAGGAAAGATACAACGCTAAGAGGCTACTGGACAATGAAGCAAAGGCCAGGCTTGATGCGCAGATTAACCCTCCGAGTAGACTGGTTAAGCGGCAGCCAAACTTTCTGACCACGAATCCAGAGACAGGACCAATAAAGAAGACTATAGCGATGGAAAGAGAACCGACCCAAGCTAACGGAAAGTGAATTGAAAAAGAGTGTTTTAATATTTAGAAGTGAAAACCAGTGAGGGGTAATTTAACTTGCCTTTGGTCTTACTTTAACTAAATATACAGTGGAACCCCGTTAATACGGTCACCAATGGGCCAAAAAAATTTGGCCGTATTAACGGGTTACCGCTTTTTTCAGTTTTTTTTTACAAGAAAATGTATGATCGTTTAGCCGGGCGGCCAAAAAATAGTACCCGTAATAACGAGGTGACCGTATTACCGGAGGCGGGCGTAAGGCGGGGTTCCACGTGCTGTATTTCAAAATTCAAGCAAGTAAGTTTATAATCTTACTTATAGGGCTATGACTGGACTAAAACAAAATGACCACCAGTGTGTGTATTTCCTGGCTTATCTTTATCAATTAAGAAAAGACGTGAAGGCAGGTTGTTGAAATAAGTCAGCTCTTTTACTTATCCTATCTTGTTAATACCCAAAGCGTACAACGTTTTCTACAAGACTAGAAGTCCAGGGGAGAGTACATTTTATATTGGGTTGAGGGTTTAAAACCAAAAGGAGACGAAGTAAAGCAAAGTCCAAAAGTCAATGGCCTATGCGTGATTACGTCACCAAGCCTCGTTTGTAAGCAAAATTCTTCTCATCTGCACTATTTGTGCGTGGGTATTCTTTTCAACTGGATTGCATTGGGAATTCATTTATGTAAAACTTTGCAACTTTATATTTTGAAAACGAGACTTTGTGGTGAAAAAAAAAATATTGACCTTGTACCAGACTCATGCATGAATGAACTCACCGCACAAATTAAATTTTAATGGACTGAAAACTAATAGCGTGTGACAACACAAACCATTTGATTAGCTTTAACTTAAATCTGACTTTTCGTGCGCTATTTCAGGGCGACGTTTTCTTGCACATGAAGCATCTCAGTTCAGTGAAAGTTTGATTCCCACAGGACATCCAAACTATACCGTCCTTATCAATGTCTGACTCAATGATAACATATTCAGAGTCATGTTTTTACTAAGCCTGGGAAACACTAACTGTAAAATAAAAGAAAACAACACATTTAGAACGTAAAAATGTGCAGTTTTCTTCCATCTGTTTTACCAACGTTGAATGTTGGCTCTGAAACCAGGAGAACGAACAACACAAACCTTGAGAATCCCTCAAAAGTAGGGCAAGAATTGACGATTTTGTTGGACGTACCGAATATTATAAGTTTCAAGACCAGCCCGAAAGCCGGCTCAGTACAGTACAGTAAATTTGTTAAAAACCAGCTAGACTAAGCGGCTTGAAAGCCTGTGAAAGGCTGTATTTAAATCAAATTATGCTCATGTGGGGTCTGTTATGTAATAACGAGCGAAACAAAATAAAACAGGGGGTAATAAACTAATGCATTTCATAACCTACCAACGCGTTCTCGATCTTCTCCAAAGAATTCCATGAAGACTGGAAAGAAAATCCCAAAACTGAAGACAAAGCCCATTGCAGCCATCCAAGACATTGCGGCAGCAAAACAGACCAGCCAAGACCAGTAACCATCCTGAGAATGGGCCACTTTTGATACACAAAGCTTCGACATGTCTTCGTGCTGGGCTTTCAGGACGTTAACTTTCCAGCCGGCAGTGTATTATGCTACTGTTGATGGTAAGTGAAGAAAAGTGTATCCCGATGCAAGAATTTTAGAGGCTTAAATCAACTAATTTAGACTAAGCGGCAAGTGCTAGCATATACAGCTATTTCGAGAATGGTTGTCGGAAAAAAGTGCACGCGACAATCCCGAAAGGTATTGTGGGTGGTTTTGAGTTCACCGTTCTTCAAAGAAATTTGAAATATTGGCGAGAGAGGTCATGGACGTATGTTTGCGAGTGCTAAAGGAAAGCAACAAAAGTAGGTTTGACAGCTACAGTGTCAGAAACGGTGTATTGATCATATCCCAAATTACCTTTCGGGATTGTCGCGTGCACATTTTTTCCGACAACCTTTCTCGAAATAGCTGTATATTAAAACAACAAACAGTGGGCAAGTGAGAACGTTGATTATTTTACGTTTTTTTTTTACATCGCAAAATTCCTTGAGGGCAAAGTAGCATAGTCAGGCAAAACTGTGTTTTTTATCAGTGCTAAAAATAAAAATTAAACTGAACCTGTATATCATTGAAAATGTATAAAATGAGGCCAGCTTTGTTCAGTGTTATTTGCATGATAAGTGCTTATTCAGTCCATTTATGTGCATATGAGGTAGCCGCAAGGAACGACTCGGACCCGCTATTCGTGTGGCAACGTGAGTCGTGTTCGGCAGATAACTTGAAACTTCTGACCGAGTCCTAACATTTCCAAGCTAAAACGATCTTTTTGATGTTACTTTGTACGTAGAGCAAAAAAAAACAAGTAAACAAAACAAGTCAGCTTGCACGTAGAAAATAGGACATTACTCCGCGTGCTTTTAACTTTTAATCATGTAAGACCCCTTAATATTGACTAGCAAACGAAGGAGCAAGTTAGAGATTCAAAATTCAAAGGTCACAGTCGTTTAGTCTCGTGCGTAGTTCTAGATAGTGTCCCTAACGTCAGTAAACACTCTCCACTCGTCACATTTGAAACAGTTGCATACAGATTCTAACATTTTATGGTTTAGTGATTATTATACATCTAAGTCTTCTACCCAGTTCTTTTGTAAGTTTTTTATGTGCAAATAGTTATTATTAATATCTCGCTGATATTAGTTAGCGATAATTTGTTGGGGCCTTAGGTATCACAAACGCCGTTACTTGGGAAAGCTACACGCATGTAAAATAAATCGGATAAGACGACAGAGACTTTTAACTTTCTCATGTCTCTTTTGCAGTGCATGAAGCCTATACTTACCCGTTTGCAGGCTTAAAGCTAACATATCACGAATTACACTCCTGGTGCTGATTGCGAGTTATTGAAACTAACATTGCGAGTTATTTCTTGTGACCGTCAAGGTTTTATAAGCCTAAATCGTGAGTTATGTTGCGGAAAATGAAGTATGAAATTATTCTAAACGCATCGTATATCCAGTGATCCAAAACGGTTGTGCGGTGACAATGCACCAAGTGATTACATTGACTGAATAATTGGTTTCAGGAGAAAAGAATGTCGCGCCCTACAGTTAAAAAACACGAGATAATCAAGGCTAAAAAGTTTTTTAGCTTTCAGGATATTGATGTTCATTCATTGTACTAATATTTAAAAACGATGGAAATAAAATTTTATTTCGTCCAGAGCAGAGCAGACATATTTTTGGTGATTCGCTCACATGACAAAAGGCACCGAGATTAAAAACTCAGTTTTGAAGCTTTTTTTAATTACTTGGTGGCCAATTCACTTAAGACTATACTTTCCACAATCGTTCAGCGGATTGCCTCGATCTCCCGAGTCATTTCAAAATCATCATCAGCACTGATACAAGGAGAACCGGGATTTTGATTAACGATTCGGTAGAAATTAACGCAACCGTCTGCATAGAACTGAAATCTATAAATAAGCTGAATATATGGAAACCACCTGAATGTTCCGGATTGCCTCGATTTTTTGCAACAATTGGGAAGCACGAGACCCTCTTGAAAGTTATTTAAAAACCAGTCTTTGTAGAGGTGTTCTAGTTCTATTCATGAAGGCGATCGCGACCGCGTCCCTCATCCTGATTGTCCGGCTCCCGCAGACGTTTCAGAGTTTACAATAGGCACTAGCCTGCATAACAGGCGCTTTATGAGCCAAACGAGGCGAAGGCGGCATTTTGCGCGAAGCGCGAGACAAGCGCGAATCAAAAAGCGCCTGTTATGGTAGGCTATGTAAGCACTCGCAGTGTAGTGTAGTATAGTGCCATTACAGTAGCATAGCGTAGTGTAGTGGTACTAGTAGTAGCAGTGTAGCGTAGCTAGTGTAGTGTACTTGAGTTGAGTTGAACTCGGCACTAATACAAAAACAGCTAAGCTGCCGCGCCGCTATCTTGTACGACGTCTTGTATTGGCAATATACATGTCATTGCCGACAGAGTGACTGACACCAATGATTAGACATTGCCGGCAACCTCCAAATTTGGTCAGCGCTAGTTGGCTATGAACAATTAGACGGGGGATTAGACCAATCAGGAACGGCGAAATTTGGTGAACGAATAATAATCAGCAAGATTCACTTGATAGTGAGTGGTAAATGCGTGATCCTGACTAAAAGACGGGGCTAAATGGCTCACAAGAACTACGGTACATTACTTTACACATATACATACATAAACTTTATTTACACTCGAATTTTAGAGTATTGTACAGAGCTGATATCTTCGTGCCGCCACTGTACGACTCGGTGGCATAGCCTGAGAAATCTTAGTTGTCTTTTGAGGCTAGCATATATATGTAGGCACACACAAGTCAAACTTCAGACATTCTTAGCATTACTGTGACAGACCAAAAAGATCTCCGTCAGCCAGATAGGGTAAACCGACGGGAAACATCAGCAGAGCCCCTGCCAGTTTAGCGACAAATTAAGCTGAAATTTAACAACAGTGGGGATCTTGTAATTTTCAGCCAAAATTTAAGGCGTTTTTATTCTTCATAACAGTGATCTTCTCATATTTTAAATGCAACACTGATTTTAAAAGATAAATGGGAGACAACCCTACTAAAAAACAATTTTCTATATTTATTTTTTTTTAACAGGATCATTTTTTTATTAAGCACACAAAACATTCCTCTCTATAGTTAGCAATAAAATTTCTTACTCTGAGACTTTCAGCGTCTGTGAGCAATACTTTTGCATTGTCTGTGTAATTTAAACTTAACGCACTATTTTGCTTTTAGAAAGCTTCCAAATGTTTCCTATTTTTTCTTTCCAATAAAAAGTGCAGACTTGAACATGTGGTTAACAAGTTGATGAGTTGCTTGATTACTGAATTTCTGGGGATTTTCTCATACAAACTGCAAGGTATTCTATCGCACTCCATGGACATGCCATGGTATTCCATGGAACTGCATGGTACTTCAGGGAACCCCATGGCATTCCATGGAACTCTACGATATTCCCTGGAATTCCATGGACCACCAAGGAAACTCCATGGGATTTCATGGCATTCCATGGAACTCCATCACTACTTCATGGAACTCCGTGGAACTCCATGGCATTCCATGGAGCTCCATGGATACTCCACGGAACTCCATGGCATTCCATGGAACTCCATGGATACTCCATGGATACTCCATGGAAGTTTCCGTGGAATTCCATGGATTTCCATTGATTTCCATGGAATTCCATGGATTTTCATAGATTTCCATGGATTTCCATGGATTTCCATGGGTTTCCATGGAATTCCATGGAGGTATTTCACACGGGTAATTAGAAGCTAACCGTTTCGAGTCAGTGCTTTAATAGCCCTAATTAGTTTAGTCGGAATCCCGTACGAATAGCAAATACAAGACGATGTACGGGTCCCGTTCTTAAATTTTTTAATCCAGTAGAAAATGATCCCACTGGCACATAATTCTTCTCGGTAACGAAGTGTTTTTGGTTGAGAGCTAAGATTTTATTACTCGAGTCCAACCTGATTGATAAGATTGCTTTGCATGGAGTATTTCGGCGAACCTACACAAGCAATATTAGAGTTTTTTTGCCGCATCCGTGGATAGGCTAGTCTGCTACACAGCCGTTTTTAGTGAGGAGGAGCGTTGCGTGACGACACTAAGAACGGCTGTGTATCAGACCAGGAATAGGCCTGCTGCCTTTTTTCAAAGGTTCCCTCACCTGGGAGAACAATGCAATATTTTCGTCTCACTGCTTTACTCTTCGACAGCGTTGGAATAGTACAATTAACTCTGAAAGGGACCACAACTTAAAGCCTTTAAAGACAGACTTCTCCACGATCGTGCCGTGATTTGACGCCATGTTTGGTGCTTGAACTGGCGTCCAGGCCTCCCCGCGTAGTGACTTACGCAATCACGTAGGGCTTTTGTACCAATAGAAATGCGTAGAAGATTAGTTTTCTTGGTTCGAATCTTTTAGGTGGACTTCTGTGCAGTACGACAATGTTGTGTAAACGGATTGTCTTTGCAATGAATGCATCCGAAAAAGATGTTATTTTCAACGGAAAATATCACTTGTGAGGTTGCTTACATTTGGCTTGTTTCAAATCGACGTCGATTAAACAATGACTCAGCTGGATCGCACATTAAAGAGGAAGGTAAGTTTAATATGTACACAACTCGTGTTTGGTTGCTCAACTGAATTCGTCCTCTCGATTGTCTGCTGTTTATCGGTTTTAATATGTAGTTTCCATCTTTCTTGTTTATGCAGATATGAATGTGGTCTTTCCTGCAAATTGCCTTTGGAATCCTTTGGAATAATTGCTAATTCTGGCAGAGTTAGAAATCGAAGACTGTACTTCGATGGACTGTTTCGATGTATATTTAGAATTTTCATGCCTGCTACGTAAAAACTGTACAAGAGACTGATAAATTATTATTGTGGCTGACGCCGTGTTTTCCCAAGGATTAGGTAGGACTTTGCTATAACTAAACACCATAGTGGTTCTGATAGAGGAAATAAGTAGCACTTCCCCTTTTCGTCACATTAAGTAAAGCCATGTTTAAGTCTTACATACTGACGGTTTACGCATTCAAGTATTAGCTTATTTTTTTTTCTCTCAATTATGCATCTTTTCGCCTGTTACTTTTCTTAAACACCAGGCCAAGATTCCTTGCTGTATTTTAAATCTAAATTTCTCATTTAAGCTACTTCAATATGATTGCTGCATTCTAAACTGCAATGTATATAGTCACAAGTAAACATTAATTTGTTAAGCTACAGTATGTCAAATTTTCCGCTAAAAGCATGTTAACTTTTGATTGATATCTTTAAAAAGATATTTATGCGGTCCTTTTATTGATTAAATAAATTGCAGTGGACCAAAATCCGTTACGTATTCCATTTGATTCACTGGATATTTTAAATGTCTAATTCCTGTGAATAGACCTATTCGGCTAACTCAAGGTTTTCCCCATTTAAGTCTCCCGTGGTTAAGATTCTTTGTGTGCTGTATTTGCATTATAATGTGGCATTCACATTTAAATGATATGGAAATTCCTGAGACAAAACGTTTTATCGCCAAAGGGTTTGAATTGGGTACAACATTGAGTTAGCCGAATAGGTCTATTCCATGAAACTCCCTGGAGATCCATGGAATAATCGATGGAGTAGTTTCTATGGAATTGCATAGAACTTTTCCATGGAATTCCATAGAAAATGTCCTAATCCTCCGTGGAAAATGTTGATGGAGAAATTTCCATGGAAATTGGTGTCCTAATGTTTTCCATCGAATTCCACGGGAAATGTCCTAATCCTCCATGCAAATATTTTCAATGGAAATATATGGAGAAATTTCCATGGAGTTCCATGGAGAATTTTCCATGGAAATGAATTCCATGGAGGTTTTTCACACAGGATTGCAGTTTACTGGCCAGTTTAGCATTTTTGGCTTCTAAACTCGCATTCGCCTTGTTCAACTTTTTGGAATAGCCTGGAATGAATCGGCTGGAGTTTGCTATCGAGCAGCGACTCAAGATCCTTCAAAGAAGGCTTGTCATTTGATGGCATTTTGCTTGTTACATAAATGAATACACGGAAACACCAAAAAATAAAGAAAAAAATGCTGTAAGAATCTGCATTTAGCAGTGAACGGAAGACATATCACATCCGGTAAGCAAAACACGTCTGCCATCTTTGCTGATTGCTGACCATGTTGTAAATGTCTTGAATAAAGTATTATTATAAAGATTTGATTTTTCGTGTATTTATGAAGGATCCTTGCCTACGGTTAGTTTCTCCACTGTCCACTTTCCAACACACTTTCATTTAATATAACTGCTCAAGGAAAATCTTTTGGGCTTAATTTTTAATCTCTAACTAAATCACAAATTGTTCTTGTTCTCAACGCCCTTTCTTTGAAGTTTGCAGTAGATCTGGTAGCCCTAAGAAGGCCTCACTTTCATGCTTATGTTGCAAGTGTGTATGACACTGTTAAAGGTAGTTACAGAAATCATCTTAGGTAAGGACCACCTATACCTAAGAGTTATTGTTGATCACTGCAAATTTTGGAGGTTTTTAATTATTTTTATCTTGCAAGCAGATCCTAAGGGGGGGGGGGGGGGGTACTCCGGATCTCAAATGACAGCAACAATCGAAGGATTTTTCTGGGTTTGAAATTTTCAATTTCAGGATGCTTTTAGGTAGGAACATTTTGGCACTAATCTTTTGGGGTAGTTTGATTTAAGATGGGACTTTTTTGGGTTTTGAAAACTAAATGGTTCTATTTTCGTGTTATATCATTTAATGCTTTCTGTCCAGAAAATTTTTATGGTTCGGAAATTGGGCATGGGATTTTTGGCGGGTTAAATTTTGGTGCAGGGATTTTTTGGCGGTTTTGTTTGAATCCCAAGGGATTTTCTTGGGTTTTGATTTTTGCCCCCATTCGATCATCCCTGTCACTTGGTCACTTGAACTCCGGAGTACCCCCCTCCCCCAGGAAGCAGATCAGGTTCAATTTCATTCATTTTCTGCATGAATTTCTATGGTAGTTCTTGGACCAAAAATGGGCCAAAGGAATATGAAAACATAATAGTATTATATATGCTGCTCCCTGCACCTCCTCTGTACCTTCAACTCTTACTTCCCCCTTCCTTGCGTTAATATCCCTTCCCTGTCAATGAACTGACTCCCCCAATTTGCAAATTATTATATGAAACACATTACATTGACACGCACTTCATTGAGCACACACTACAATAACAAAATTTCACATTAACTGATGCATTCATCACCTAAGATGTTATAAAACAATTAGTTCATGCTTCAGCCGTGCATATTTCAAGAGGCTAGAGTTGCTCTCGGCTGCGCCTCAAGCAACTCTTACACTCTCTTTTGTGCTCTCTTAACTTCCTGCATACTCAATATGTCAACACTGATGCACGAACTAATTGTTAAATGTTGGAGATGATCATGTACAAGCGAAGTGGTCGGAGATGGAGGTTTGACTGAAATATTCATTTTATGAATGTGTATTCCCAGAAATTCCATACAAATAGAAATATTGCAAACAATATCAAATTTAAGATCGATGGAAGTTCAGAAGTTTAAAGCGAAAAACACTTTCACTTTAAATTTCCTGCTACAAGCATTAATTTACGGGGCAGTGTAAAGTGCAGACTATGGACTATTGTTTTTAGGGTTAGAAAACAGTGGGACTATTGTAGTCACCTGTCCATTTGCACGGTGAAAACAATAGTCCGCAGTCTGTGTTTTACACTGACTATGGTGGCCGAAAAACTGTCATTCGTCAAGTTCAGTTCCCGGCCGTTAATCATATTAATTTTACTTTTGGTTTTATTTCACTTTTATTTCATAATAAAAATGTTTTGTTTTGTTTTGTATTGAAAATAAAATTTTAAAAGAGGAATCTATTTCCAGTTCAATGAAAAAGAAAATAGTTTTGCGTTTTACTTTCACTTCATTTTCAATTCAAAATAATTAAAGTTTAATCTCAAATTAACAAATTTATGTCGTTTTGACGAATGGCAGTTGTCGGCCACCATACACTGACCGTTAATTAAGAAAACAAACATTCCATGTTTACTGAAACTAAACTTTCAGACAAGGAATACTCTTCTTAAAAGAATATAACGAAAGATTTTCTTTATATAGAAAGGGAAAATAAATAAATGCTTACCTGTAAGCATAAAGCCGAATCCTTTACATCTTAAAGCCACGATGTGGTTGTACTCAGCGCAAAACGTGGTCAACATTCCAGTGATTTGCAGCTACACCGGCGAATTAATATGCCCACAAATGCCACAGAACGAGGAACGTAATATTTCCACTGATAGTAGTAGTAGAATAGTCCATTTGCAGGAAGTTTTGCTCCCAAATTTTACCTTTTTTTCCTCAATTTAGATGATCATCGCTTCCAACGCACAACAATGGGTTCTCGTTCCCTGAATCTTTGCGGCACTAGATTTCCCGCGAAAAAATACGTTTATACTAGTAGGTTGACCAGGATATAATATAATATATAGATTTAGCCAGGGCTAAAAGCGAAGCTCCAATTAATAAATTTATATTTTAAATCAAACAATAAACTTGTAATCCACAACTCAGTTAACTTAAGGGCACATTCATGTGACTTTTGAGGGAAAGGATAAGATATTTTAGAGTGAAACGTCTTACATCGAGTTGATAGCCTAAATGTACATGTATGTACACCCAAAAAATAGCAAACATCTTCTATCACATTCAAGAGCCATAATGGCTCTTGATCACAGTAGATTAGGCCTCGAAAACAAATTCTTTGAAAACAAATCAGGCCGCATTTTTTTGCCTTCGACAGGTTTTCTCTACAAATTCTTGCCAACAAATCTGAGGGTGTGTAAATCAACCTTTTATACTTTTTATACATCACATCTGAGGTGAAACAGTACTTTTTATCATACAGACATCGGACAGAATACGGCATTTTACAATTTTTCAATGTTCAGGACGATCAATCGTGGGCTTTTAGCGAAACCGTTCAAAAAATTTCCAAAATCACCCATAGGCCAGCCGGTTCTCATTTTCAGTGCGAGCTGTCAGTGTGGTCGAATGTTTGAATGAACTTTAATGGAGATACGCTTCAACATAATAACGAATTTATTATCATTATTTTTTGTTATTTAATGGTTCCAGTTATGACGATGTGTAATCTTATAAAGCGTTTGATAGGCGCGACATTTCTAAGTACTCCTGCAAGCGATGTTCATGAACGATGAAAACAAACACCACGGACAAGCGATTAAAATTGCAAGAGAGACTACAAACAATCAATAAAAGAAATACAATTCGGTAAAACACTTACAGAGACAACAATTTTCATTCACGAAGACAAGTATTAAAGTGTCTCTAAAAATCCTGAGCCGTTTAACCTTAAAGCTTAAGCTTAAGTTTATTTTGTTTTACTTTCAGCTTGTCTCCCGGTGTTTGTTTTTTTTTTTTTTCAAAGATGAACTCCTCGAAGCAAGAAAATCACTCAAAGTTTTCTTTCTACAGCCCAATTTATAACTAAACATTCTTCGGAACGTTTTTTTTTTCTATTTGCCGTGATAAAATATATCTGAAGGCCTTTTAAAGTTCTGTAAGCTTATATCAAACCTGATACTAGATCAGATCATTGACTCAAATCTTAAACAACAGTAAACAAACGTGCAAAAACTTGCCGCATAAACTGTGCTCGACTTCATGAAATTAGATATAACAAAAACAAACATCAAATACAATAATTACTCAGCCTTACCATTCGAGATTCAGTTCCTGAAAGATATCAAGGAAGGCCATAGTTGCTTGAGACTTTTAAACCCTCTTACGCTTTGAGCAAGGTGAAAGACGAAAACGATGCCATCCGAAATCGGATTACCCAATTTTGACAAGCGACGCATTTCTCAACCAAAAACCCAATAAACAAACCAGCCATGGATAACGGAAGACTCTTGATAGCAGCTGTATTTCATTTTGTACATCCAGTGGAAAGAGACAGTTAAAAACATCACAAGTTGACACAAAACTCTGTCAGCTTTAGCTGTCAAGGTAAACAACTTTCAAGATGCTGCATAAATTTTCCGCATGAACTCACCTGTCAAATTTTGACCAATCAGAGTACAAAAATTCGACGTAGAGCGTGACCAACGCGTGACCATGGTAAGAAAAGGTCTTCCCGCCTTTATTTTTAAAAAAGTGGCTGAATTTTTGCGTCCGAGGTCAGTTTGAAATCAAAATCTTGACAGTGCGGGGCCATAGTGACATAAACACAACATATTTCATATGAATCATTGGAAAAAATAGACTTGAGCCTGCGATCATTTGAAACTGGTAATTTGTCAGCGGATAACTTCAAAAAAGTACTCGACCTCGATGGGTCGACACTTGAGCCCGCGCTACGGTCAGGTGATACTGGTCAGCGGATATCCTGTTTTGACAGCTGTCAATTGATCACAACATTGATGTGCAATTAGTTTTCTATTGGGCTCCCAAACTAGCAAGAAAGTGTGAGAGTAAACATTGGTTTCCCTGTGGTGCGGACGGACGGTCGTACGGTCACGTGATTACCAAATTTTCTCGGATGGGTAGATTACCACATTTCCTTAGCTATGGGGCTCCGTCCACGCGCGCTTCGCGCGCGGGTGGAGCTCCGCTATAACAATTATTCACCGAAGTGGAGGTGGCTAGTATTGGATATTTACCGAGGCCGCGAAGCCGCGAGGTAAATATCCACTACTAGCCACCGACACTGAGGTGAATAATTGTTCTAGTATATACTAAAACATTGAGGTAATTGAGCACAAAAATGATGATTTTTAACTCATTTACTGTTGCCAACGATTACATTTTTGGCGCGCGATGACCGAACGGCCGCGGTCGTCGCTTTTTCTTAGCGACAAATAAAACTTTTGAAGGCGTTTGTTTTGCTCTTGCGGGGAAGTTTCTTCAAAAGGAGTTGTGAATTCTGTTTGTGTTTAAAATAATTCTGTAAAAAAGATTATTAAATTTAGTTTGAAGCTTATTTATGAACAAGTCAACTACATAAAGTAACGCAAGACTTAAGCTTAATTTGCATTTGTAAACAAAAAACTTTTTCACCGGTTTTATCGATAACTATTCAAGTCAAAAAGACAAAGCTTTACCCGTTAAAACTTCCAAACCGAACTTTGTCACCTTCTTCATGTATTTCGGAAATAGCTTGCTTGATTAGTTGTGAAATTTCTTAGTTTGTTGCGGCAGCAAACCGGGAAAGCATTTTGCTCGCAACCTACGCGAGTTTGGCGTCGCTCGCTCGGAGGAACTGGAGGTGAATCAGTGAATAGTGCAGGATATTCACTAATCGAGTAGCCAATCAGAGCGCGCGAAAAACACTATCCACTGTTTTAGTATATACTAAATAGATTTAGCCAGGGCTAAAAGCGAAGCTCCTATTAATTCGAATTCATACTTTAAATCAAGCAATAAACTTGTATTCCACAAATCAGTTAACTTAAGAGCACATTCAGGTGACTTTTGAGGGAAAGGCTAGTAGTTAGGAAAATGGGTTTTCTGGCGCACTCTTCGAATTCACAGAACTGCATTAAAAAAACTAATGTAATCCCAGAATATGCAAGGGATTATAAAAATGAATACCTTTTATAAGAGGGATTAATAAGGAATTCAAGTATTTTGTTGAAAATATAAATGAAGCAACTCGTGGTTTATTTCAAAATCATCGAGTTGATAGAATAAAGAAATTTATTAAAAAATTTGTGTTAGCTCAAAAATTAGGCTACCTTAATGATGTTAGTAATTTTGAGATTAAAAGTAGTGATGTTAATTACTTAATTAAGATTAAAAAAAAATTTAATAATTTTAATCAGTATATTAAGTTTTTAAAAGATTGTTATGATGATGATGATGATCAAATTTTTATTGATCCTTATCCTGGTTTAAAAAACATTTATGAGGATTATGAATTATTTTGTAGTAAGTTTAAAATAAAATATGAAGAAGATAGTGATAGTGATAGTGATAGTGATAGTGATAGTGATGGAGTTGATAGTGATAGTGATAGTGATAGTGATAGTGATGGAGTTGATAGTGATGATCTTGAGGTTATATTATCTGATAGTGATAGTGATTAAATAATAGCTTAAAGTCTTATAATCTAATAATAAGATTATAAGACGTCATGTCTAACCAAGCAAATGGTTTTCAGGGTTCTCAACCCTTTATAAGTGATAAAGAGTATAAGAGCTTATCTTTGGATCAATTAAAATATATATTAAATCAGAAGAAACAAGGACTTAAGGATAATTATAAAGAATTAAGTGAAAAAGAAAAAATAATTCGTGATATTAGAAAAGCAGATAAACTTAGTGAAAAAGTAAAACAAGGTATTGATATAAAAAAAGAAAGGAAGAAAAAGGTAAAAAAAAAAGAAAGTAAAAAGAAGATAAAATCATTTGATGAGTATTTTGAGCAATGTATAAAAAATAAAGAGATACCACCAGATACTCCTTCTTATTTACGTGAAGCTCTTGAGAGAGCTATTAAGGAATATGATCAAGGACTTATTAAAGAAAAATCATCTTTGGAAAACTTTGCTAACAAATATGTTATTAAAGGAGAACCTGGATTATCTCCAGCTGATTTTTTAAATAGAATTCATAAAACTTTAGAAGAATTTTTTACATATCATAGAAATATAAAATTTAATAGGCTTTTGGTTTGTTTAATGGAACAACAAGAAATTAGTAAAGATAAAGGAGTTGTAGGATTGAATCAAAGTAAGGCTTACTTTACATCAGGAATTCTAAAAAATTTAAAATCAACAGATGTAAATAAATTAATTAATCTTTGTTATAAAAAAATTCTTAATGATGTAGATGCTTATCAAGAAAATGGAAGTGGATGGTATTTTAATGAAATTCATACTGTTGAGTTTAATCCAGCGAAGGGTTCATCTTACATTCCTCTTCCAGATTGGATATCAAATAAAAAAGCAATAGTTAATATTGAAAACAAAGATGATAAATGCTTTATTTGGTGTATACTTAGATATCTTTATCCAAGAGATAGAGATGAAGAAAGATTAACAGATTCGAAAAAGTATGAGAATTCTCTTAACACTAAAGGAATTACTTTTCCAATGAAATTAAGAGATATTTCCAAATTTGAAAAACTTAATCCATCTCTTCCAGGAATAAATGTTTTTTCAGTTAATGAAAACAAAAATTTTGATCCTTTAAGAATGGCAGAGAAAGACTGTCTAAATACTATTGATTTGTTTTTATATGAAGAAGATGGTGCTTCACATTACTCACTAACTAAAAATTTGAATCGTTTGATTAAGTCTCAAAAAACTAAAAGTAAGAATGGTTCATTTTATATTTGTAAAAAATGCTTTATTCATTTTACTTAGTATGAATTATTACAAAAGCATATCTTATATTGTTCAAATAATGAAACAGTTTCTGTGAAAATGCCTCCACAAGGAACAATGTTAAAATTTAAAAATTACCAAAATCAACTTCCAGTTCCTTTTGTAGTTTATGCAGATTTTGAATGCTTTACTAAACCAATGAATACTTGTAGTCCTAATCCAAAAGAATCGTATAATTATAATTACCAAAAACATGAACCATCAGGATTTTGTTTTCATATAAAAGGATTAGTAGATACCAAATTTGAGCCAATTATTTATACCAAGAAAAAAGAACGTGATGACGTAGCTATAAGATATTTGTTGAAAAACTTACAAAAGTAACCAATAAGATATACAATGATTTTTATTGTCGGCCAATACCTCTTCGTTTAACAAGACAAGAACAAAAATCATTTGATAAAGCTAAAACCTGTTATATTTGTAATAAAGAATTATTAGATGATAAAGTTAGAGATCATTGTCATTTTACTGGTAAATACCGTGGAGCTGCTCATAATAGTTGTAATCTACAGTGTCGCAAACCAATGATTCTTCCAGTTATATTTCACAATCTTCAAGGGTATGATGCTCATTTGTCTATAAAACAACTTGCTTGTTTACCAGGTGAGTTTAACTGTATTCCATCTACTGAAGAAAAGTATATTTCATTTTCTAAAAAGATTAAGGTTGATGAGTACAAATCTAGACGCAATGGAGAAATGATTTCATTATATTTTGAAATACGATTTATTGATTCATTCAAGTTTCTTCAAACATTCCTTGCTAATCTTGTTTCAAATCTCCAACCGGATGATTTCCATAATACAAAAGAAGTATTTAAGGAAAATGTTGACTTACTAACTCGTAAGGGAGTTTATCCATATGACTATGTTTCCTCAATGGAAAAACTATCTGAAACACAATTACCTTCAAAAGACTCCTTTTATTCAAAACTAAATGATGAAGAGATAAACGATGATGATTATCAACACGCTATCAATGTCTGGAATACTTTTAAATGTAAAACAATTAGAGATTATCACAATATTTACCTAAAGTCTGATGTTCTACTTTTGTCAGATGTATTTGAAAACTTTAGGAAAACTTGTCTCAAACATTACAATCTAGATCCAGCTCATTATTACACATCTCCTGGGCTAGCTTGGGGTGCATGTCTCAAAGAAACAGGTCAGGAATTACAATTACTAAATGATTATGATATGTTAATGATGTTTGAAAAAGGAATTCGTGGTGGAATATCTCACATATCAAAAAGATATACAGAAGCAAATAATAAATACATGAAAAATTATAATCCTAATAAGGAGACTAGTTATATTCAATATCTTGATGCAAATAATCTTTACGGTTGGGCAATGTCTCAACAACTTCCAACACATGGATTTAGTTGGATGAAAAATTCAACAAAAGAAAAAGTAATGGATATCTTGGATAAAGCAAATCATAGTATGTCAAATCGTGGAAGAAAAGGATATATATTTGAAGTTGATTTGGAACATCCTTCCAACCTATGGGAATCACATAATGACTATCCTCTTGCACCTGAGAAGATGATTGTCAATGGTGTTGAAAAACAAATTTGTCATTTTAAACCAAGAAAGAACTATGTTGTACATTATCGAAATCTGAGACAATACCTTGAGATGGGAATGAGAATAACTGCTGTTCACAGAGGAATATCATTTTACCAATCTTCTTGGATGGAGCCTTACATAAGAAAAAATACAGAACTTCGAAAAACAGCATCCAACAGTTTTGAGAAAGACTTTTTCAAACTAATGAATAATTCCTTATTTGGAAAAACAATAGAAAACATAAGGAAACGACAAAATATATTTATTATTGATGATCGTAAGAAAGCTGTAAAGTTAACAAGTCGTCCAAACTTTGATAGGGCAACAATATTTGATAAAAATCTTATTGCTGTTCATATGAAAAAGACAGAAGTTTATTTTAACAAAACAGTATATGTTGGACAAGCAATTCTAGATCTGTCAAAAACATTAATGTTTGATTTTCATTACAACTATATTAAAAAGAAATATAAACACAGGGCTGAGTTAATGTTTACAGATACCGACTCACTTTTATACCAAATTCATACGGATGATTTTTACAAAGATATATCCTATGATATAAAAACCAAGTTTGACACATCTGATTATCCTCCTAATCATCCATCTGGAATACTAACAGGAGTAAACAAAAAAGTAATAGGAATGTTTAAGGATGAAGTAGCTGGTAGACAGATTACACATTTTGTTGGTCTTCGTCCGAAGCTTTATAGTTTCAAGGTAGAGGATGGAAGTTTAACCAAAAAGTTTAAAGGTATAAAGAAAAATGTTGTAAAAAAGGCAATAGAATTTGAAGACTATGTAGAATGTTTATTTTCTGGTGAAAAACAAATGAGATCTATGAAAATTATAAGAAGTGAAAATCATGATATATATTCAAAAGAAGTTAATAAAATAGCTCTCAGTAATGAAGATGATAAACGCACTATGATGGAGGATAAAGTGAATACGTTGGCTTTAAGATAATAAAGTAAAAAATAATAAATGACTTACACAAAAGAAGAAATAGAAAAATATTTAGAAATATTAAGAAGTTTTAATACCCAATCAGAAGGGGAAAAAAATACAAAAGTTAAATGTAGTAATTGTTATAATAGTGAATTTTTTACTATTTATTTAGGTTATAATATTTGCGATTCTTGTGGAACAACTAATGGTCATGTTCTTGGTTATTTTGACTTGAAAGAATACGATCGATTTTATTTTCGAAAGAAGAGTATTTATCAGAGAAAGTATCACTATGAGAAAAAGGTGGATCAAGTTTCCAGAAGACTACATCTAACTGAGGATGAAAACTATGAATTATATAGTAAACTAATGGCAATAGACAATCATGTCATGGAAATACTAAACAAACAATTTTGTCGGAAGAGAATGATAAGCATTTTTTATCTAATTAAAAAACTTTTGGAAGAAATGGGTTGTGAAAAGAGCAAACTAGTTTATCTTAAGATTTCCAACCAAACTATGGAGAATTATGAAAAGTGGTGGGATGGTTACAAATCACTCCTTTGTGAAAGCACCAGTAAATAATTCCAGTTAGATAACCAAGTACTTCACATTCTTTAAAAGGTGTGTTGAAGGTATATACACATCCTCTTCCAATTCTATAATGTTTCCAAAAAGCTTTGAAAGCTAGATTGAATATTAAATGATTTTTAATAATATTTGAATTTGAATTTAGATAGTGTCTAGCGTCTGACAACTTATAAATAATTTGGTTTATATCAATTTTCTGTGCAAAATACTTTGCATAAAGAGACTGGTAAACAAGACAAGCTTTAATAAAGTTATCGGGATAAAATTGTGTTTTATAAGTGGGAAAGTACAAATTAACATATTCTACAATTGTACTAATCATTTTCTATTTTATGTTTAGATAGAAAATGATTTAAAAATTTAATTAAATTAATAATAATGAGTTTTGTTATTTCAAAAGAAAGTTTAAAAGAGGAGGGTAAATCATTACTTAAACAATTAAGAGGTTTACTTAAAGAATTTGAAGATATTTTTAGAATGGATTATGATGAAGCATTTTTTGAGACAATTAATAAAATAAAAGAAAATCTTAAGATAGCAGAGTCGGTTGCAATATGCGAACAAATAAAAAGAGAAGGAAAACCAGATGGTGATACTTATTATTGGTATAATGATTACTTAGCTTACAGAATAATTAAAGCAAAAGATAAAAAGGATGAACTTCTTTCAAAAGCTCCAAAAGGATTTTTTTGTCCTGATTTGAAAAGTATTGCAAGAACATTAGATTTAATAAATTTAGATATGGAAATTGATGAAGATTTATATTTTGATGTATCAAATTTTTTAAAAAAAATATGAAGCGTATCAAGTTTTAGAGTTAGATAGTAAATATGGTAGTAGCAATTAATTAAGGCTTAAAGAAATAAAAAGAATAAACTAAAATGGAAAACACTTTAGAAAAATCCTTTACCAATAAACAACTTGGAATAAAGTTAAACTCATACATCGATGAAAAACTAAGGGTTTGGTTTAAAGCGAAAGAGGTAGCTCAAATATTAGGATACCAAAATACAGAAAAAGCTATAGAGAGTCATGTAAGTGAAAATCATAAAAGAACTTTTCTTTTTTGTTGCCCGTGTGAAACGCACGGTCAACAAATTGACACTAGAGGAAAATGTTGTTTATTTGTCGATGAAGCCGGTTTCTATGAATTAGTTTTTAAATCTAGATTACCAAGTGCAAGAATATTTCGCGAATGGGTCTTTACTAAAGTTCCTCCTTCAATTCGCAAATATGGATACTATAGAATGATTGATTCAAGAATAAAACAAAGAGTAATAATTGATGGAAAAAAATATTATAAACACCCAGTGTTTTCTAATTATGCAGCTTCAAAAAATGGAGAAGTAATAAATGTAAAAACTAAAAAAATTATGAGTATTAAAAAAAGAGGTAATGGTTATTTACAATTTACAATTTACAATAAAAAACTTGAAAAACCTTTTACATATTATCAACATCGTTTTGTATACGAGGTTTTTCGAGGGCCTATTCCACGGTGTTTAGAAATTGATCACATCAACAATATTACATCCGACAAAAGAATCAAAAATTTACAACTACTTAATCATAAGCAAAATGTTGAAAAAAGTAAAAAAAATAAACCAATTATTTCTACAAATATAGAAACTGGAAAAGAAAGAAGATTTATTTCTATTACAAAAGCTGCGATTGAATTAAATATTTGTGTTGATAGTATTTCAAAGATCTGTAGGAAAAAACTTAAATCAACAACTTCAAAAAAAGATGGTAAAAAGTACTACTTCAGATACATAGATTAGTTTTCAATATTTATCTAAATATTGAAAACAGCTACATCTAAAAAAGATAGAAAAAATACACATTCAAATATTTATATTAGTTAGCATTTTAATCTTTAAACCATTAATTAAACTTTTTATTATATCTCTTAACAAATCTATCTGCTAGAGGAGTCTGATCAATTATCATTTCATCTATCAACTTCATGCGATCGATAAAATCATGTTTGTTAAACTCATCTCCTCTCAGAGCTGACCTCGGTTCAACCAATACTTTTTCATACGTCGTAAATGCGATTTGCGTCATTTCCATTTTCTTTTTGTAATTTTTCATTTTTGCAATACTTGCAACGAGCACCCCAGTGCCATTCATTACACCAAGTATTACTGGATTTAGTGTTATTCCACCAGTGATAGTTCCTATCACCACTAATCCTCCTCCAGATAGTGTAAGTGTTTCATCAAACAGTTTATATCTTTTGTACGACTGCTTAAAACACCAGTATTTCTTATGATAATGTTTGTAAAAGTCTTTGAGAGTTGTGACGTCTGATTCTGACAGAGATTTATCTATGTGATTGAATTCAAATATATCCTTCATTTATTCTTTTGTTTACATTAGTGCGGCGTAACCAAGGGAGGGGGTCATAGGGGGAACCGTAGGTTCCCCTATACTATATAAGATCCATTTAACTTTTCTTAAAGCATTACTTTATGATATTGCTCAGAGTCGGTGTCGTAAAAGTTTGGAGAATACATTAATCTTGTTAACACTCCATCTTCAGTTGTAAACTTCCAACGTTGATTAGTATTGTATTGAATGGTTGGTATAGTTAATGTTGAGATGTAGTTACTTATTGAAACTTTTGTGACATTTGAATGAAAATCTTCTGCCAGCCATAAAACAATTATTTTTCCATTAAAACTACTTAACATAGTAAAATTTTGAGTTGTTTTATTAACAGTTAAAGTTACTTTATTGTTTGATTTATCATAACTTAATTTTACTGAAATATTATTGTTTGTTGATAAATATTTAGTTAGGCTAAAACTCCTATTTCTCCAATGACTAAAAACAATACATAAAGTATCTATCGGGGAATATGAAGGAGAAAAAGTAACATCATAACCATTAACATTTAATCCTTTTTCTACTATTTCACTTAGGTCTTTATTAGGCGGTAGTGTAATACTAGGAATTAAAGAATTAATAATAACTCCAGATGAACCTATATTTATTCCGTAACTATCCGCATCAGCAAAGTTATAGAATTCACTAAAGTATTTTTTGTACAAAGCATTTTTAGTAAAAGGAATTAACTCTTTTACGAATGCAACTGTTGCAGCACTATTGTTACTGTTTCTATCGAGATTAATGTTTAATATTTTTTTATTATTTGCATTAATATCAACATTATACACCACTTCTCTTGGTTTAATATCAAATGCGGTGTGATAGTCGTAAACTTTATCTGGGTCGATATTGCTAAATGTACCCACAATACCATAAGCAATCATGTAAACCCCCTGAAAAATTTTCGGATATTTATAAATATTATATCCTCGGTTTGAAATATCAACAAGAGTGTGAAGAAAGAACTTATTACCAGATGACAGCTTCCGGAAATTAACTATTATTCTATGGTAGTACATAACTCTTGTTTGCCCTTTTGGATCAGTATACCTATGGGATAGTTTTCTTATACCTACATTTCCAATTGATAATCCTGTTGAAGTTCCTTTGTCAACACTTATTTGAGTCTTATCCCAAAGATTATAATCTGTGTTGAGTATTTCCAGGTAGTCTGTAAAAATTAATTCCCATCTTATACTTATACTGACTTTGGCTATTTTTAATTATATACGTGTAAATAACTTTGTGATTATAATCGTGAAAGTTGCCTTTGTTTGGTGGTAAGTCATCTATCCTATTTATAACAAAACTAACTCCTCCATCTATTTCATCAGTCCATTGAGACCCACTTGACATAAGATAAGCAAACTGGTTGTTGTAATGACTTGGTTGAACTGCAGTACGATGAACTAGTTTGTCGGTGTAATCTTTGTTTACAGCATCACTATTTTGGAGTGGTTTACCAATATTTATTATTTCATTACCACCAGCATTAAGTTCACCAGTCATAGCGATGGAACCATCTTTTTCCAAGTAATCACTTAAATCTGGGGCGGCTGTGTTATCATCCACATATTTCTTTGTTGCAGCATCTGTATTTGACACTGGAGTAGCGAGACCAACTATTTTATTATTACCAACATTAAGGTTACCAGTCATAGTTATGGTACCATCTTTTTTCAAATAATTGCTTAAATCTGGACTTCCAGCATTATCATCAACATACTTTTTGGTTGCAGCATCTGTATTTGACACTGGAGTTGCGAGACCAACTATTTTATTACCACCAAGATTAAGGTTTCCAGTCATAGTGACGGTACCATCTTTTTCCAAGTAATCACTTAAATCTGGGGCGGCTGTGTTATCATCCACATACTTTTTGGTTGCAGCATCTGTATTTAACACTGGAGTTGCGAGACCAACTATTTTTTTGTTTCCAAGATTTAGGTTACTAGTCATTGATACACTTCCATCTTTTTTTATAAAAGAACTAGTATCAGGTATTGAGTCATCCACATACTTTTTAGTTGCGC